GCGCGGCCATGGGGGGAGGAACGTCGGACAGGAGAGGCGCCCCCCAATTCGACGCGCGTGGGGTGGCGAACAGCCCCGGGAGAGGGCTGCGGGCGGCACGGGGGGCCCGCCCTGGCCGGCGGGCGCTGCATGGGGGAACGCTACAAGGCAAGTCGTCACGTGCTGCGCATGTGTGTTGGCCAGCCCCACGCGTGCGGGCGCTCACGTTTTTCCTGTGCTGACGCATCCAGGAAGACCAGCTCAAGGGGGACCTCCTCCATTGCAGAGATCATATCCCCGTGGTCAGCCAGCCTGTCTGTGTGGTTGTGGTTGTGTGTACATAATTGATGCCATACCATGCATGCATGATGCATGTGGCAGGACGGGGTGTGTGATGATCAGAGGGCACGTTCTTGCTGTAAGAGGCAGGCCGGAGGTGACGCGGCGGCCACGAGCGGGGGCGGAAAGGAGGCCCAGTTGGCAGTAAACGCCGGCGGGGCAGCTGCACGGCAGCTGCCAGATGCGCCTGGCCGCTGCTCCTGTATGTGATCCGTAATCCGCCCTCGCCCCGCGCGGGTGACGCGGCGCGGCCGCTGCTGCTTTGCGGAGCTCACCTGGCCCGTTTGCTATGTATATGGGTGCGAGGTGGCCCTTGATGTTGTCTGGGGGCGCCCCAGGGGAGCCGCGGATGTACAGCATGGTGGGCTTGAATTCATCCAGCTTGGCCGCCAGCTCAGCCATGCCGGGGGCCTCCATAAGCTCAACCTGAGGACATGGGTGATGCAGGTTGCGCATGCATGCACTCGTACTGCATCATGCAGTCGCGCTGCATCAGCATGCGGGTTTTGTTGACCCGGCCGACGGGTAGGGGACACGGCACCCTCGGCCTCCCCAAGTCTGCCCGATGGCAGCCGTTTGCCGCTAGCCGCGCGCATCGATACGCATGGGGGCGTTGAGGAGGCAGGTATTCCTATAGCACGGCAAGGCGCGGCAGGGACGAGGGCACCCCGGCGATGCAGCACTGCAGCGCGTCGTGACATGCAAAGCATCGGGTGTTGCTGCGGCCGCCCACCTGCGCGCCGGGGCGCGAGGCCACGTATGATGGTGTGCTGCCAGGTCCTGGAGGATCGTATCCGGGGTCCTCCTCTTCGGGGTTGCAGAATACTGCCAGCAGACGGAGATCGCCCGGCTTAGCATCGACGTCCATCTTGCTGCCTTCAATACCATTGGCAGTCATATTTAATGTCCTTCACGGGCCCAAAGGCCCGTCCGAGCGTCCTCCCGAGTACCGCGCAAGTGCTATGATCTGTTGCACTCGGGTGCAGAGTGGATGCACGATATTGTTCGATACGGTTAACTTGCGTTACATACTTATCATTCAACATATCGCATGTGCACCGCGTGTTTGACGCTCCATCTCATCCTTGTCGGCAAGTGTCTTGTTACTCCGGCACATCCGCGCTGTTGAGACCCTGAGAAGATAAGAGAACCTACCAGGCCTCTTCAAGCCCAGCGCTGTAGCCTGCTGCGAGATGAGCCAGGGCCGCGCGCTCGCGGTGGCACCGCCGTCGCCCGGGGGTGGCAGCGCCGCGTACTCAGAGGATGAGGACGAGTGCACGGACGAGCTGATCGACCGCATATTGGAAAACTACCAATTTCACTTCAAGCCTGAGACCCGCGTCAAGCTCAAGCAGCGGTGCGCGCGTCGCGGCTCCTTGCATTTCGCAAGCGCCACCCGGGCGTCCATGCCTGCTGCGCTGCCCAGCGCCGGGCTGCAAATCGCCGCCGCCCGCCGCTCCCTTACCACGTCCACTCCTCGTGCACCCAGGCTGAACGACATGTCCATCGGCGCGTGCTACAGCAAACCGTGGGGCCGCGAGCCGCGGTGGCGCTTCACGGTGCGAGCTCGGCCCCCCTCTATCCATCCCACGCCCTTGCACCGCGTGCCCGCGTGCCCCTTGCCTCTCTGCCGCCGACCCCGCGGCGGCGCGAACGTCACATCGCACCGCACGCAAAAACAACACACCATTCCCGGCGTAACCCCGGCCACAGCTCAAGCCCGCGGCCAAGGACGCCGCCGTGGGGAAGTACGTGCGCAGCCTGCTGGTGATCCCGGCTATGTCGACGGCAGCGGTTTTCTCGAGCAAGATCCAGCTCAGCGTCTTCCGACTGCAGTTCGTGGCGTCCTACAACTGGCAGCGCAGGGCGCCCAGCCTGGAGTACAGGTGATGACGTCACTCTGACTCAGCACGCACGCTTTCTACTCAGGGTCCCGTCGTCCGGTCGGGGTTGCCCCCTGGAAGGCGGGCGGGACTCGGGGCGTACCCTGCAGGAGGCAGGCGCGAGGTTGCTTTGGCAACCAGCCAGCAGCCTTGTTGGTCGGCACGAGGCTCTGCAGCCTCGCGCACCGTCTGCGGCGGCACGACGAGCCGCGCCCCCGCGCACCTTGCCCGCCTTTCATTCTTCCCGCCTCCAGGCTGACGACCAAGTGGAGCGACGGGCCCCGCATAAAGCGGAAGGAGCGGGTGCGGCCGGATGGGATGGCGCCGCGCGGGTGACGCCTGCGCTGTTTGAATCGCTTTTTTTCCAAACCGATGCCCGCCTGAAGCAACCGCGCGGCGCTCGGCCCCAACCGGGCCACGGGCCGAGCGTTTGTGCCCGCACCCGTCGTTTGACCCGGCCCCCCATGCCACCCTGACCCCAGTTCCAAGTGTCGGACCGCTGCCACGTGCGGTGCAAATGGAACCTGGAGGCCCACCTGCCCGACATGGAGGGGTGCGCAGCTTCCCCCCTGCCAATGCACCCACCCTTCGGACTGCCCCTGGGGTTCCATGCCTTGTGCTGACCCGCTGCTGCCGGCAACGCCGATGCTGTAGATCCACCGGCCGCCCTCGGAGCACTGGTCTAACGCGCGCAAGCGGCTGCCCGCTGGCCGCGGCCGCAAGGCTTGAGACCCCCCCCCCCCGGCTCCCCACACACGCATGCACTGGCACCCCA